TCCATAAATAATACAGCCCTGTAAACACAAGAGAAAGTTTTCCTGTATTATAATAAGCCGAGGGCACTGATACACGAAGCTGTTCATTTCATTGCACTGAATTTGTTTAATTCTTATTTTAGCCAAGTATGTGTTCAGTGCTGGTTAGATCATTAAGTATCATGACCTAGTCTGTAATTAAGAAACTATCAAGTTGGAGATGAGAATGGGAGACTGATAAGAAAGGGGGTGCCATTGGTGACTTCAGAGTAGAGGACTCTCTGAAACTCTAAATAAGAGATAATTGTGGCATGATCTCCCTGGTAGAAACTTCTCTGAATAGAATATCAACAGAAATATATTTAAATTTCCATGAATCAGATATTTGAAAAAAAAATAACAAAGCTTGGCCATACAAATAATTTTCAACAAAGTGCTAGCATGAAAAAAATTGTTGAACAAATTTTGCTTTTTCATTATCTCTGACCATATGTGTCAATGTAAGAAGTTTGCTTTCTCTGGTTTCCTTTGGGAGATAGAAGATAATACAGGATGGAACATGAGTTTTAGGTCCAAATATAGGTTCCATTTCTTTCATTCAGCAAGCAAAAGCAGCATGGCCTGAGAAAAAGCATAGTTGCTATTGAGTTTTAAATTATTCAATTATAAAAAGGAGCTAATAACCCCTACCCTCTAGCGATGTTTTAAATATAAGGTGTAGCACATGTAAGGAATCTGAGGCATGGAGAACATTTAATGCTCAGCAGCTATTACTATTGCTAGCAAATTCTAGGTCCTTTAAAAAATTTTCTCAAATCATTACAGTTAGGGTGGGTCATGTCAATTCTCTCCACAGAAATTCTGTCCAAAAATTACTGGTTAATTCAGAGAAAAGAATCCCACAGGATTTGCAGGACTTTATGGGCAATATCAAATACACTGTACTCAAAAAAGCACCCAGACTTGTCTCCTAAAATATATCAGAATTCACTGCAACTAAGATTTTAATTTCATTCATTTATTTATTTATTTACTTATTTATTTTTTGCTGAGGAAGATTAGCCCTGAGCTAACATCTGTTGCCAATCTTCCTCCACTTTTTTCATATGTGGGTCACTGCCACAGCATGGCTGATGAGTGGTGTAGGTCTGCACCCAGGATCTGAACCTGTGGGCTTGGGCCACAGAAGCAGAGCATGCTGACCTTAACCACTATGCCACAGGGCCGGGTTCCTCAGATTTGAATTTTAATAAACACAATGAAAAGTAGAAGAAAGACAAGAACATTTCAATAACCATTATTCCCATTGTCTATTTATAGTCAGCATTTTTTTTTTTTTTTGATACTGGAAAAAAGAGATCTCCTGAGGCAATGAGAACAGACCCTTTGGAAATAGATGAATTTACTTGCTTAGATATGTTGGTAACTAGATGTTATGGATTGCACGTTTGTGTCCTCCCCCAATTCATATATTGAAACTCTAATCCTCAATGTGATGGTATTTGGAGGGGGGCTTTCTGGGAGAAACTTAGGTCATGATGAGGTCACGAAAGTAGAGCTCTTGTGGTGGGATTAGTGTCCTTATAAGAAGAGGAAGAGAATAGAGCTCTCTCACTCTCTCTCTCTGCCAAGTGAGGGCACAGCAAGAAGATGGCCACCTGCAAACCAGAAAGAGGGGTCTCACCACAACTCCACCATCTGGTGCCCTGATTTCAGACTTCCCAGCCCCTAGACTGTGAAAAATTAATTTCTGCTTTTTAAGCTACCCAGTCTATTGTACTTTGTTAAAGCAGCATTAACTAAGACACTGGACAATTCCTATATTGGAAGGAGCTCATTTTTAAGCAGAACAATTGAGTAGAAACTATAGAGAAGTGGAGAATATGGAGGATTGCTAATGGGTACAGAACTTTGAGAGAACATGAACAGCTCGTCATCGTGAAGGACAAACAGGATAATAGTTGAACTCGTACCAATGCACAATGTTATTTTGGGAACAACAAACAAAGAGATCTATTGATGTGCTCACTTGTTTTTTAAGGACAAGATAGTCAGCCAAGTATAGTTCATTAACAGTGAAAAATAATTAAAAATAAATACAGGTTGAAAACTGTCAACACAACAAAGAAAATTAAATACGAAAACAAATCCCGAAAACAATAGAAATTGGCAACTGCTTGATTGGCAGAAGCAAAAATTATTTCAAGTAGTGATGAGAATAGGAACCTCAGACTAAAGCATTGTTGGTTAAGGATTAACTGCTGTAAGAATAAGGATGACAAAACCAAGGCAGTGTGACAGTGATATTGTATGTTTTCAGTTATAAAGAGAAAGCATTTGCTGTGTTATGTAGTTATTAGGACTGCATTTAATTTAGTAAATTTAATTGCCAAATTTAAATCATCCTTCTGATAATGTAGACAAAGGGAGATTTCTAGAGAGTAAACACAGTGGATCAACACGAGCATGGTTTTTTTTTCTTGGGTTCTTGGTAATATTTTGGTCCTTCCGTAGAAATGCAAGTACAAATTACACAATAATCTGTGTAGGTTGCTCTGTAGTTCTGAATTAAAGAACAGTAAAAATGTTGTCAATTTGCTAATTCTCTAAACATTACTGCTGTTTGAATTTTACAGACAAGTTAATCATCTTAGTAGGAACAGAGTATTATAGAAAAGTAGGTAAACAGTTAACTTCACTTTTTAATCTCTGAATGTAGGCCTTTCTGGCCCTCGTAAACTTGGTATTACCATTTTTCCCTGTCTTTCTCATTTCCAGTGACCTTAAGGGCACAGTTAATTTCAAAATAGCATGGGATTAAATGGATCACTGTGTGATAAGAAACGTACCTGGATGCCCTTGGGTTAACTGGATCCTTGTTTGATAAGAATCATACCCGGAATGGACGCTCTGGGCTAGTTTCTGCAGGGGCAGCTAAGTCTGTAATTATTCCAATGTAAACCTACGGTTGATTTCTCATTCTGATCCTAATCTTTTGGTGGGGACAATTCCAGTGGTAAAGTACTAATATTTTTGAAATGAGGAAAATGTTTTTGGGGGAAATAACGTCCTGGTAAAGCTCAGTGCTCGAGGAAAGAGATGGTTGGTGGTACATGAAGCCAACAGATACATCAGTGCACACTTGGGAGGGAGCTCCTAGCAAGGCCAAGGCTTTCGAGAACATAGATACCTACTTGTCTCCAGTTTCCCCAGTTTTATCTGGATATTCACCAATATTTACATAGAGCTCCTAAAAAATACGTCACACACAAATTTAGAAAAGAAATTTCCGTTTGATTTCCAACAAATACATTTTTTTTTTTAAGTTTGTCATTATCTCAACCAGTGATGTCATTTCTTTCCCATTTGCTAATTCCGTCAGTCATTCCCTTTTGCCAGGTTGGCAACTAAAGATAAAGAAAAAAAATCTGCTATTTTGATTTCAACTCTCCTTTGGTGGATTGCAGATTCTTTTTCCAGGACTAATCTATTTCCCTCTCCACCACAAATCTCTACTGACACAAGCCTGAAGGAGAAAATGCTAGATATTTTCTGTCAGCATAAGGGACTTGCTATAGGTTAGCCCTTAACAGTTCAACAAATGAGGAAATTACTGTAAATATCAAGATTTAATTTTTTCTAACTTTCGATATATCTGGTCTAATAAAATAATAACAACATGGACATTCCTGTTTTTTTTTTCTTTTTAGAAGACAGTTTACTTTGGCATATTCCTCTTCCCCTCCCTAACATGTATCATTTTCATATTCATAATCTCTGTGAACTACTCACGTTTTTTGGACCATTAAAATTTCAAAGTTTAATAAGTGAGCAGGAAGCACTCTCTCCCATACTCAGATTTAAGGTGGTACAAGGAAGCAGAAAGGAAGTAAAACTGTAAAGAAAAGATCATTTTTACAATGTAAAGATGAAAGGAAATTGAAGTACAGCTTGAAGCTTGGAAAGACAGAACAGAGCGCTCAAGGTGATGCGCTCCAGGAGAAAATTGATAGTGGACTGCTGTTTTCCTGAAACAACATGTATGTTTATTTTGGCACCACTGTTGTCGTCACCGTTATTTTGAGAAGAGACAGTTCAAATTGCAGTACACATAGGGGCTTCCGTCTCTTCTTGCAGACGTGGTATTAAAGACAAATTTAGTTAGCACCTAATATAATTCAGTCCAATGAATGTAGTCACCTTGTCTTGTAAATATTTTATTTAGAAATATCAGTCATTTCTATAGACCCATCACTCTTATACCATCTGTAGAATTCTAGTTGCTTCTAGAAATTCAGAGAAAGACAGAGCAGCAAAGACAGAGCCACAGAATAAGTCAGCAATCTGTAAATCACTTCATCATTTAATTGCTATTGTGAGTGCTTGCTATATAAGAAAATCATGGATTCTTTTTCGGATTTTGCAAATTTTTTTCTTACAAATCAAGATTATCAGAAAAACAGCAACAAGTAGTTTCCCTGGCTCAAAAGAAAACAGGTGTTTGGTGCCACGGAGGAGGACGACTTTGTGTATTTAGTTACTTTAGCCTTACTTTGTCCTCTGGCATGATCTGTTCCCTGATTTCAGTGCAGTCGAGCTTGCTTTAAAATTGTACACAAATTAAGTTAACCACTTGGATCATATGTGTCCCAAAGAATGTGGTTTCTCAGGTATGAGCAATTTACCAATCCCCTACTCTCCTTTCACGTTGGCATTTTGACAGTCCTAGCAAATTTCTCAGGCAGATATTTTAGTTTGCACCTTGATCACGGCAGCTCTTACTGAGTTTCAGAATTGCTCATACCAGATGCACCTTTCCAGTCGGAAGGGATAGGTGTACTTCTTAATGATTGTGCAAACATGCATAATTATGCCTGCAGGTAAACGTTCTGCTGTCCTCTTAGAAAACTGAGAAGTACAAAGAATGTTTATGAGCAGGTCCAGCCGTTCCAAGTATCTTGTCGGTTTAGACACACCTGAGTTACCATCCCCCTCTTATTGGCTGAGAAAGTTGCCGCACCTGATTTGTAAGTTTACCCGTCCTAGTCAACAGAGGGGGCACCTCAGCCAGCCAACGCTGGCTTTAATCTAGCTAGAAGCAGCGAAAGCAGCTATTTGAAAAATCACTGGGTTCTGAGTTCATTACTACAGGAAAACTGTTCTCTCCTGGGGCACAGAGAACTTACTTCGGAGCAGCCCTACCAGCTCGGAAGTCCGGCCGGATAAAACGCATCGTGGAGGATAATGGCTACCTATGTCCTGCAAATCGCCGGACTGGTGCTTGGTGGTGTAGGCATGGTGGGCACAGTGGCTGTCACCATCATGCCTCAGTGGAGAGTGTCTGCCTTCATTGAAAGCAACATTGTGGTTTTTGAAAACCTCTGGGAAGGGCTGTGGATGAGTTGCATGAGGCACGCTAATATCAGAATGCAGTGCAAAGTCTATGATTCCCTGCTGGCTCTCTCTCCGGACCTGCAGGCATCCAGGGGACTCATGTGTACTGCTTGTGTGCTGGCCTTCCTGGCTTTCATGACGGCCATCCTTGGCATGAAGTGTACCAGGTGCACCGGGGACGACGAGAAGGTGAAGGGTTACATCCTGCTCACGGCTGGAATCATCTTCATCATCACAGGCATGATGGTGCTCATCCCTGTGAGCTGGGTTGCCAATTCCATCATCAGAGATTTCTACAACCCCATAGTGGAAGTTGCCCAGAAACGTGAGCTTGGAGAAGCCCTCTATATAGGCTGGACCACGGCGCTGATGCTGATTGTTGGCGGGGCACTCTTCTGTTGTGTTTCTTGTTGCAATGAAAAGAGCAGTAGCTACAGATACTCTGTACCTTCCCATCGCACAACCCAAAAAAGCTATCACGTGGAGAAGAAGTCACCGAGCGTGTACTCCAGAAGTCAGTATGTGTAGTTGCGTATATTTTTTAACTTTACCTACAAAGCCATGCAGGTGACTAAAATGTCCACTATTTTCTACAAATGGAACACAAAGGAACATTGATTTGCTGTTCTTAACTGCTCAACATTAATCACCGGAACGGTGCATGAGCTATTTATGATTCTATAAGCTGTTTCAGCAGAATGAGATATTCCACAGCCTGCTTTGATTATTCTAAGAAGTACAGTAATTTGTTTTCTGAAATGGTTCATGCATCTTTTCTTTTTATCGGTTACTTCAAAATGACATTGTTAAAGACTATTATTTTACGACTGTGATTTCTCTATGACATGGCATTTCTTATGTAGATGAGAGTGACGTTTGTATCTCACATAAATAGAGACAGGCTTATGTGGTTCTATTTTAAATGAAATACTGATCCATTAAACTGAATAAATAGAATTCAACTATTGCTTTCCTGGGGAATTGGGGATAAGATTGAAGAAGGTTAATATTAATTGTTTAAAAATGGCTTAGTGATTAATGCACTTGATTTATAATGAAGGTTAAAATTAAGGCTTTAATCAGCAGTGTAAAGGAAATTAATTGACTTTCTGATATCCTATTTTTTAGCCTAAGAGTTAGAAATTCTAACTCCTTTATCCTCTTTCCCCAGAGACCTTCCTTTTCTTGTATATTAAATTAACATCTTTTAAAAGGCAGACATTTGTCAAGGGGCTTTGCATTCCAACTGCTTTTCCAGAGCTGTACTAAGAAGAAAGATAAAACTGCGGTCTAAGAAACATGAAAGACCTCAGGAAAGGGAAATTTTCTTTCCTCTTAAGTTTCTGTGGTTGGAGAAGGATGCATTTTGACAAGAAATCATACATATATATGTGAATATTTTAATAACTATTTGAATACTGACTTTGGACTTTTATCAACATAAATAACAGAACAGAAAAATCATATGTCTTGGTTTTTATTTGCTTACCAAAGAACAACCAAAAAAACTGTGCTTTGTGAACTCCATCTGCTCCTATGTGCGTACCTAAGTCAAAATTGTCATCTCAGTCCTGCCAAAGATAAATTTTTTACCTGTTCCATTTTTGTTTGCTTTTACTAAGGTACAGAAATACCATATCTTTTTGTTTTCCCCAAATTTGATGCAACCGATAATCCAATTTGCAAGTTTGTATCTATATTTTTCTGGTTTAAATGACTGTGTGTCATCTGCTGTATGTTCTTTATATAATAATTTGTGCCTTTTTATATTAATTTGACATTCGTTCATTATTCTCCATTTTTTCTGTTTTATTATCTTGTAAATACTTTTTAAAAACTGATATTTTCAGCTCTGCAATTTTAGAAAGAATATCAAGCCCACAGTTTAAAGATAAAGGTAGATTCAGCATTAATTTTTGAGAATATAAAATACTCTAAATCATTTAACAACAGCATGCTTTATAATCATTGGATTCGCATGCTGCTATTTGGTGCACATATTTATAATTTATTAAGATAATATTATGGATTCAAACAAACCTATATAGTGTAAATATTATGTATGTAATAGACATTTCTGTAAAGACTTTCCATAGCTAAATATGTCTCTACCTCTGAGAAATAGTATTAATTAATAATAGTGGCTAACGTTTTGGGAGTACCTATTATGTGCTGGGAACTCTACTGCTTTATATGAATTATATCATTAAATCTTTTATGAGATTGGTATGATTAGTTCAATTCACAGATGAGGAGACCTCAGAACACATCATGGATTACCCAACTGAGTCAGGAGAAACGAAGAGGAGTGTCCGACTTCATAGCTTATGTTCCTTCTTTTTAGGGAAAGTGGATTTTCTTCAGCAGTGTCTAGTTTATAAATTGATCTTTGTATGTGAAAATGACATGCTTAACTACTGTTAGTTGGAAAAACTTTTAGTATTTTTTCTGGGATTGGTGATTTTCCAATAGCTAAGTGTTAATTTATCCTAGGCAATTTTACACCCTTGGGTCAAAACTCTCATGAGAGCAGAATTAAAGGGAAACTGAGCACTTTGGAGAAGAAACCCAATCTTCTAAAAACCAGTCTGTAATCAAACTTCTTTTTTGCCTCGAAATCTCTCCTGAATGCCCCAGACTCAATTTACCATTTCCCTCCTCTTTCCCCTCAAACAGAATTATACCACTGCTGGTTTTCCTTATGGCATCACCTCTTGGCTACTTCTGAAGTCTTTCTCCAACTTTCCACACTATCCTCACCTTCTCTCTGTCTTTCCTGGCTGGAGGCCTTCCAGACTGTGTTACTGCCTGCAGCTGTCCCTCCTCCAGCTCTTCTCTATATTCTTATCTTAGTTTTTTGTAAAATGCAAGTTAGGCCCATCATGCAAGCCCTCCCCGTAATTCTAGTGGGAATGCTTCGCTGCCTATCAGGTAAGTCCAGATGCCTGAGCACATGAGAACTGACAGGAAGGGAAATCTTCATGGCAAATTTTATCACCCAGTAACATCAATGTATCACGAGAATAATAACAGTTATAAAGCTACTCTCCAGAAACTAGGATGATTCACATGTCAAAGGTCTTCAGTATCCTGGAAGAGATGCATTGGAATTAGGAAACGGTTTGATTGGAGGCAAATTATGTGCAAGTGGACATTTTATAGCGTAGTTTTATGATGTAGTTTTATGGGGAAATAATGCGATGGGATGGAACGAGCCCATGGAGGCAGAAGGGGTGGCTTTATGCCTTCACTTTCCTGCTAGTCTTTTTTCTCTTTCATACTATACCATATGTTGCCATCACCATGAGCCCCTTCTGCTGATTCTCTATCCAAAACGACTCCTTCATGCACTGCAAAAACAGTTATTAAGCTACGTTATGCCAAGTGCTAGGGACATGGGGATGGATGAGACAGTTTTTTTGTTTTTAAGGAATTTGCAGTCTAAGAGGAAGAGACAAGAGTGAGAAATGTAGCCTTCACTGCACACTTATCAGGTACTTGGAGCTTTGCTTTCTGTGCCTCAGCAGTCCTCTAAGAAGTCCATGAATTATATACAGAGTCATGAGAACGCTGAGTCTCAAAGATATCTATATATCTCTATATACTATATCTATATCTATATAGTATATATAGATACATATCTATATATACACTGGTGGTCTCGTGGTTAAGAATCAGTGCTCTCATCACCACAGTCTGGCTTCATTTCCTGGTCAGTTGTCATACGGTAGTGGCTGCATGTTGCTGGGGTGCTGAAAGCTATGACACTGCAGGGTCATCCATGGTGGACAGGCCTCAGTAGAGCTTCCAGACTGGGACAGACTAGGAAAAAGAACCTGACCAGTCACCTGCAAAAAAAAAATTGGCCATTGGCCAGCTCCGTGGCACAGTGGTTAAGTTCACACCTTTTGCTTCGGAGGCCTGGGGTACGCCGATTCGGATCCTGGCTGCAGATCTACTCACCGCTTGTCCAGCCATGCAGTGTCCGGTGTCCCACATATAAAGCAGAGGAAGATGGGCACGGATGTTAGCTCAGGGCCAGTCTTCCTCAGCAAAAAGAGGAGGATTGGTGGCAGATGTTAGCTCAGGGCTAATCTTCCTCAAAAAAAAAAAAAAAGCCATGAAAACCCTATGAATAACAGCAGAGGAGCATTGTCTGATACAGCACTGGAAGGTGAGAGGATGGCACAAAAAGACCAGGCAGGGTTCTGCTCTGCTGTCCACAGGGTCGCCTGGAGTCGGAATTGACTTGATGGCACTAATAATTATATGTGTATACCAAACATCCCCTAATATAAACATCCTCCTAACTATAGACTAACAGAATCCCTGATTCAGGAGCCTGTGCTCTTCCTGCTACAATATTGTCCAAAGACATCCCTCCCAGAGTTAACTTTCCGAACAAATGCCATCTCACCACCCCATCTCCAGGGCTTCCCTGTGACTCATTGGTCACAGACTCTTTCTCCTGAGTCCCAGGGCCCACCTCAGCATCAGTCTTTACTACGTTTTTGCTCCCCTCTCTCCTCCCTCCCAACCTCTACGTAATGTACTATTTTTTGGTTTCTGACATCCATTACCTTTCTCTTGGAATACACTCTAGTTTTTGAAACTCCTATCATATGTCAAACATCGCATTTCAAATTCACTAGATCTCCTTCCTTGTTCTAAGAATGCTGCCTGAACAGTATCCCAGGAAGCCCCTCCTCCCAGCTCTGATCCTGCTACCAGGCAGAGCGGAGCAGAGCAGCAGCTGGGATCCAGCCAACAAGCAGAGCCCAGAGGCCTGCTTTCCACAAAGCTTCAGGCTCTGCCAGATTCCAGGAGGAAAGAGCAGCGCTGTGTTCCACTCTGAGAGGAATGAGGTGCAGAGGCCCGAGGCTAAGCCTGAAGCTCTCTCCTGGGGGTGAGGGGGCAGGGGGAGACATGTGGGCCTAACTGCTTCACAAAGAGTCCTGGAAGGAGGGAGACATTTGTACACCTGTGTAGTCTCAGGGGAATAACCTGGAGGCCAGAAAAACTCTGGGAGAATCATGCAGAGACTGGGTTCTTCTTCCTGTGGGGCCTCCACTGTCACTGAGAGGGAGGATATCGAGAGCTGGGAGCAGAGGTTACTTCCCAGGGCCCCAGGAGTGAGAGAGCAACTTTCTGCCACTAGATCCCAGCCAACAACAATGAGAATTCCTGCCACCCGAGGGTGTGCCAAGGGTGTGCCCAGGAGGGGTTCTGGGAAGGAAGCACTTTCTTCTTTGTTTTTGTCTGTAACTCAGTAAGAATGTACTTGGGCAAGCATCATAAATGAATAATCTTTGTCCCTCTTTTTTTCTGAATTGGACCAGCTTTCCTATGCTTTTTTTGGAGAGTAGAGATACAGGTAGATATCTCTTCAGAGCTATATGGAGATTCTCTTTGAAGAGAAAATTTCCTTTACTAGATGCTACACTGTACAAATGCTTTAGAAATTAAACTGCCCTCCAGCATTAAAGCTAAGAAACCCTCTGAGGGAAATGAATCCCACTCTCTTAGCCCAGCCATGGTCCAACACTGAATCTTTGACTTTTATCAAAGGATGAATGAAGAGAGAGAAAAAGATTCTGCATTAGGCCCTGTTCTGGTTATTTCTTGCTGTGTAACAAATTACCCCAAAACTTGGAGACTTAAAACAACCACTATTGGGGCCAGCCCGGTGGTGTAGCGGTTAAGTGCACATGTTCCGCTTCTTGGCAGCCTGGGGTTCGCTGGTTCAGATGCCAGGTGCAGACATGGCACCGCTTGGCAAAAGCCATGCTGTGGTAGGTGTCCCACGTATAAAGTAGAGGAAGATGGGCATGGATGTGAGCTCAGGGCCAGTCTTCCTCAGCAAAAAGAGGAAGATTGGCGGTAGTTAGCTCAGGACTAATCTTCCTCAAAAAAACAAAAAAACCCACTATTTTGTTACTTTACCTTTTTTTGGTGAGGAAGATTGGTCACAAGTTAATATCTGTTGCCAATCTTCCTCTTTTCACTTGAGGAAGATTGTTGCAGAGCTAACATCTGAGTCAATCTTCCTTTATTTTTATATGTGGGATGCCACCCCAGCATGGCTTGATGAGCAGTGGGTGGGTCTGTTCCCAGGATCTGAGCTGGCAAACCTGGGTTGCTGAAGTGGAGTGCCTGAACTTAACCGCTATGCCACCAGGCCAGCCCCTCACCATTTTATATCTCATGGTTTTGTGAGTTAGGAAATTAGGTAAGGCTCAGGTGGCCTGTGGCAATGATTTCAGGTAGTAGCTGGGGTCTACAGTCAACAATAATTCCTCTCACTGCCTGGCAGTTGGCAATGATGTCTGAAAGTCTGGGTTCAGAAGGGCCCTTCTGCCTAAGACCTGTGGTCTTAGGGCCTCTTCACCATGTCTTTCCAGCAAGTGGTCAGACGTGCAGCATGGTGGCTGAGGGCTCTAAGGATCCATAGGAAAAAACACCAATACTTTTAGGAGACCTAGGGTCCCTTCTACCATTTGCAATTGATCAAAGCCGTCTCCGGGTCTAGGAAAGGGAAAATGAATTCTACTTCTTGACGGGAGGAGCATCAAAGAATCTGGAGCCATCTTTAACCCATTCTAGGTCCAAAGTGGGGTTTTAAGAACTTAAAGAGGAATTTTTCTTTCACATTGACTTATGTCATGAAACAAAGGCATAGTTTAAAAGGGGTGTTTTGTATTTTAAATGAGATAAAAGAGAACATGTGTTTTCTATTAAGCAGAAGCAGATGCAAAGAAAAACACAAATTAAATACAAGAGGCTTAATTCTCCCTGTAGAAAATAAGGGAAGAGATTTCTTTCCCCTCCTTTTTCTTAGAGCATTTACTTTGGAAAACGTGTAAGTGCTTTCTTCTGTCCTTGGAATGTATATAGATCCTTTTACAAAACTAAATAGTTTTTCTGTCAGCTTTATGACCCAGGAATGCCTTTCTCTAGGACCTGGGAGCCATCTTGTCTGAAATGTAAACCTCAAAGGAGATAGCACCTCTATTTCCTGTTGACTGTGGGATGTGGGGAGTCTAACTTCGGTGGGCATCTTGCTCCAAATTGCCAAACAACCAATCATAAGGATATGAGAAGTTTGTTTCTCCTCTGGATAAATCCAATTAGCTAACATAAACGGTCACCCTAATTACCAGGTCAATTTAGGACCAACTATGTGTGACAAAGGTGCTGTCGAGTCCTTTTCCTTGAGGAATAGT